TGAAAGGAAAATGTACAGTAGACTTCCAGTTGAAAATTTTTCCTGGACAGACCCATGGCTTTGTCCATCGTAAGAGAGAGGACATCAATCCAGCTGATAAACCCCAAATTGAGGAGGCCAGAAAGGATATGCTCAACTGGCTCAATAAATACATCTGAACATGTGAAATAAATCTGAAAATAGTTCCTGAAACCACATAATTAGATTATTATGGGTATTGATTGGTGGGTTATGTAACTTTGTGGTTATTATATCATACACATGTATTTCTTTAATGTCTGTATTAAAGTATATTTTGACCAATAAATCATGAATGTATGCCAAAAACAGACAATGCAGTACAGAAACACTATAAACACAGTAACAAAATATATTCAATGAAATTGTCAGATTTTTAATATCTATATAAGAAATCTGTGAATGGTGAATGTACTCAATGAGCAATAATTGAATGTCAATAAAAGTGAAGCACATGGAAATTTCATCAGTCAAATGTTTTATTGGCAACTTTGTAACGAATAAAGCTTGGACATGTTGTATCAAATGATAAATAGCAATACGCAGTGCGATGTGGACATGGAGCTCGAGGAAGTGCCAAAGACCTCTGAAACATCTCACACATTTAACCCCTCCAGAGCACACTTGAGCTGCTTTCCTTCAGCCAGGGAGCTTCAGTCTTCGCTCTCTCCTGGGTTTCTGATGTCATCTATCTTTAGGATCATCTTAACCACCTGGGTGGCCAAAAGGATCTGCTGCTTCTTGCCAATCAAGGTCTCAATTACATGTTGCTGCTTCATGTCTGTGCAGGATGAAACAAAGCCAATTACGCTAAATGAGGGCTTGAAGCTTTTCTTAGTTAATTTATGTTGGTAGACAAAAAAAAATATATCTAATTGTTTCTCAAATATTTATGTCAGAGAACAAAGCACAAACGCCTTACCATTGGTGTTTTTGTGCAAGCAGTCGATGCCAAGGAAAGGATTGTTGTCCTTTACTTGTCTGGCTCTGACCTCGGTCATAGTCTGGATGGGGCTGAGACCGCTGTTCTCAGCTAATGCCATCGGGATGACCTCTAGAGCGTCAGCAAATGACCTCATGGCATACTGTTCCAATGATGGGCACTGTTGAAGAAAACCGATGTAAGTACAAAACGGTTTAAGTGTCAACATCAAGATTTTTACATCAATTGTGTAAGTCGTACCTTATCCGCCGCCTGGTTCACAGTGAGAGCACATGCAATCTCTGACGCTCCGCCGCCGTAAACAACACGGTTGTCTCTGACCAAATTGCGAATTACACACAGAGCATCATGGAGCGCACGCTTAGCTTCCTCGATGATCTATCATCAAACATGAAAGAGTGGATTAAAACCAATATACGCCAAGGTAAATACGTAGTCTATAGGGTGAGGGATGGTAGGTGCTCACCATTTTGTTGCCACCACGGATAAAAATGGTTACGGCCCTGGTGTTTTTGCATTCTGTAATCACCAGCATGTGGTCCTTGGTTGTGCCAAAGGAGATTTCCTTCACTAAGCCGGCGGCGCCCAGCTTCTCTGGCGTCAGCTCACAGAACCTCGGCACAATCCGGCCCCCGGTGGCTATCGCTATCAACTGCACCAAAAACATAAAACATACAGAGTAATCAGTAAATAATATACTCGATTTAATGGCATAATCAAGGTGGAGAGAGCACAGGAAAGTTTGATAAGAAATTTGAACCATTTCTTACTTCAATCTCTGGCCCACCGACCCAGCGCACGGCAGGCAGCTCGTTTTGCAGCAAAAGGTGGTTCGCCTCATCATCAAAACCCCACTGGCAGATGGCCAAGTTAGCGCCAGTGCTTTTAACCTGAAATAAACACATTGTTTACACCAAGTGAGTTAATCAAACATTTAGGTCGTTATGATGATCAGCTCTAACAACAATCTAAAGCAATTTGGGGTGTTTACCTGCTGGATCATCTCTTCAAACTTTTCTTTTTCGTACTTCTGCAGGGCTTTGTAGTCCTCAACTGAGGTCACATCCAGCTTATGCTTGGTCTTTGGCTTTGGAGGCTCAAACGGGCAAGTCAAGATAGCAATTTTAGCATCTTTTAGAACCTTATGAAAGAAAGAAGGAAGGAGAAAACATTTGCCTTGTTATAATACAGCTAAATCAGATGCAGGTAATCAAATTGATCTTCAACTTATTTGATTTATTCTTAATCTGATTTTAAAAAAATGCAAATTTATATTTCATCTTGCTGGAGGAAAATTAGAATTAGATAATTAAAAGATGTTTAACAAAAAAACAGGAATCCTCTCAATATTATTCATAAATATTTATACCTTGGGCATCTGAGGGTGGCTGAACTCTTTGTCAACTATCACACCCTTGATGAGCTGTGTGTCCTCCAGCTTTCCTCCTACTTTCCCTTCCACCTTGATGAGCTCAAAGTCTACATCTTTCCTTCCCATGTCAGCCACAGTGAGGATGGCATTCACTGCAATCTCTGCCATCTGTCTGTGGCACCGGTTAATTCTAGAAAACACAAAAAAATTCAAATACTAACATGCTTGATTATGTGAACTTAGAAAATAAAAAAGATCTTCCACAAATGTTACTGTGAACCCAAAACCTTCTGACTTACACTTTTGATCCCAGTGTTGTCATGGCAGTTTGGATGAGAGGTTCAGTGTTGTTGGGGTCACAGGGAAAACTTTCTGCCATTTTGTCTAGTGTCTCTATAGCAATACGTGCAGCCTGGTCGTAACCATCAGAGATCCTGATGGGGTGGATCCCTCGGTCCAGCAGCTGCTCGGCCTGCTCGAGCAGCGCTCCGGCCAGCACTGAAACAAAATAAAAATGTCTAAGGTAAAATCCTCCATCTAAAATTAGATGCTAAAGTCCCATATTTGATTCTCAAGCTGAGTCATTTCTGGCATGTCTTCCCCATCTTAACAAACCTTCTTTCTATCAAGCTAAAAACAAAGGAAGACGACTACCGCCATAAAAACAAGACAAAAACACATAGTTGACATGTGCATTATAGGGATATGCTACTTCTTTTCCCCATCCCATCTTAAATAAAGGATTTAATAGAAAAAGGTTGTTTCTATTGACTTCCACACAGAACTCTGATTGTTCATTTCTACTTCAGAACCATCATCCTTAACATTTGAAAAGTATAAATTGTGTGTTTACATTGAACATTGTTGGATCCAAATAATGAAAAAAAAAGCCTGATAAGTAATGAAAAAAATATTTTTGATTATCTTTAACTACAATATCTTTACATTAATGAATGAATTAATTGAAACATTAATTTGATTAGTCCCAAAAAAGCTGTTAGTAGCAGCCCTACCAGATACCAACAGCTTTTATTTTAGTACAGGACTGTTTTGTAAATTAATAATTAGAGCAGAATGGATTCAGAATCACCATCATATCAGTGCTAGATCACTTACCGACAACTCCAGTGGTTCCATCACCAATCTCATCGTCTTGGGACTTGGACAGCTCCACCATAAGCTTGGCAATCTGGTGGTCCACATCCATCATGCTGAGAATAGTGGCTCCATCGTTAGTGACGGTCACCTCTCCATCCTTGTCAACCATCATTTTGTCCAGACCTAATTAAGAATTGTTAAAGAGGAATGTTAATACATTTAACTGTATATAGAAGATAGAGATTTGAAAAAAAAGCCACTCAAAGAACCTTATAAACCAAAATGACAGCATAGTGACTAGTTCTTACATACCGTTAGGTCCCAAAGATGTTTTCAGCGTTGAAGCGACTGCTTTGGCTGCCATAATGTGAGACTATAAAAACACAATATTTGAAGTTAGCCAACAATTTCATTTTTTTCTTTTATCACTTAAGAATTTGACACCAAAGATGGCTTTCTAATAGAGGTGATGTGTATCACAATTGACTATTGTGGGTAGAGCTCTGTGAAGCTACACCCCCTGGCTCAACGCCTTACAGAGAGCACATGGGCCTCCATGTTAGCATGACTGCTTACAAATCTTCAAATGCTGTTACGATACTAATGCAAATCAGGACTTTCAGGACATACCTATGCATTTAATGCAAACATTTAAGTTTAAGCGCCTCTCGTACTTCACTCAAATAATAAGAAAACATCAAATTCACTTCTAGTTAGCCATAATGCTAATTTTTTGCTAGCTGGCCCATTGTACCTTCAATGCGTCAATTCCCGTTAGCCGAGTCTTCTTGTCTTGGTCTTTAATGATGATAAAAGGCCTGCCATATTCATCAAATGCCAATGTGCCCAGCGTGGACATGTTGAGTGCAGATTGAAGAGTCGCTAAGAGCGCTCAGTACTAAGAAAAGTGAGATTTAAAGATGTTGTTCAGGAGTGTTGCTACACTGCAAGCCGCTCGGTTCTGCCGGCGGCTTCTGGAAGGCTCTACGGGCGGGGAGGGCGGAACCAAATACTCAGAAATGTGCCTTTCTAAATGCTCAAACCTCGTCTAATAAAGGTACAGTTTACTCGTATGTCTAAAATAATGAACTATTATGCTTGATAAAAAATATTTACACCATTGGCATGACGGCCGTTTAGAAAAACATTAGCATAAAGTATTCTTTATTTTATTTTTTTGCAACGTGGTTTATTCCGATCACGTTCAATCTCAGCAATCTCGCGTGAATTCAGAAAACGTCAATGTAAATGTGTTGACGAGGTTAATTTGTAAAGCCCTTCTAAAAAGGTAAGGGCCGTTCTACAGAATAAATGTATGTTAGCTATATTGTTCACGTTATGCGGTGGTGTAAAATAGTATTTCATTTGTACGAACGAAAGCAAGAGGTGAGCCGGAGTTCAGATAACTGTGCTTTAGTTTCTGAACTTTATTCTGAACTTGCTACATTTTATTTTTAGTTTTGACGGTGGCCGGTGACCTTTTTTCTTTGTTTATAAATGACAAAATCTACACATTTCGCTCCCACGTGTGCTTTTCTGAATACTGCTGTCATCGTGAAAGTTGGACGTAATTTCCGGTGTGCTGTTGATATGATTCCGGTCAGACTGCGTAGGTTTTACCCAGATTGGAAGGTGTTATTGTCCAAGTATGTTGGTAAGAGGATACATCTGGTGCACACTCCTACTCCGAGTAGATAATCAGATTTTACCTGTTGTCATCCATCAACAGGTGTTTTGTGTAGCTACACTCATTGCAAGGGTGTGTCTTACAGCTTTTCGCTCATGCATTGCACTAGAAACGTTAAAATACTGCTTATGTAGGTAGTAAGCATACATTCCTGCCTCAATACTTTGCTAAACTCGTTATTAATGAGGAGACTTTTGAGGGCATCTGGTTGCACATAGTAAATACAGAATGCAAATGCGTGCCACACTTGTCAGTTACACATTTATAAGCATTTAGTGAACATTATTTTTCCAAATGTTAATTGTGCACTGTTTTGTGTTTCACATTCATTAAAGTTTCTGATGTGGCAACATTTTATTTCTAATTTTTTCCAGTGTATTTTATTGCTCTTCTGTTCTTTAAAGCCTTTGAATTGCCTTTTGTAACATTAGTATCACATTTATAAATACACTTGACTTCCCCTGATAATATATTGTTTCAATCTTAGCTATGGTCAACAGGTATTTTTTATTTTAATTTAAAGTTACTGTTTTTCTTTGCAAAATGCTCCATCCGTAAAATACCCTTATTTTGTTTGATTTGTTCTTAAGTGTCTATTTTGACAGATGATGTGCAGATTTCTCCTGCTAAACTAGGTGATATGACTGACCAAAGAAAGATGGCAGCTGAAACTACTGTAACAATGTGATGACAGTGACTCTGAGTGGGGGGAAAAAAGATTAGAGTATATTTATACAAATACAAAAAAGCCCTCTTTTTTCTGGCTTTTCTAGCATGCCTCTTGAGGTGAAGCCTCGTTTTGTTGTGTTGTATGGCTCTCAGAAGGGTCAGGCCCAGTCCATAGCTGAGGGCATCGCTGAGGAGGCCGAGGAGCACGGCCTGGTTGCTGATCTCTGCTGCCTGAACCAAAACGACAAGGTATCTGTCGATATAACAGAATTACTTTTTTACTGCATGAGTTCCTGCACAGAAGAAACCATTTGAAATAAGATACTTACTTCTGCTACCAAGTAAATTACCTGAATGCTTTTCAGAAATGCTGATAACTGGTTTAGAGTATGTTTACTTCTAGTATAACTTGGAGAAGGAGGATGCCCCAGTAGTCTTTGTCGTGTCTACCACTGGAGATGGGGAACCTCCAGACAATACCCTACAGTTTGTGAAGCACATCAAGAAAAGGAGCCTCTCCCCTGACCACTATAAACACCTTTTATATGCACTTTTAGGTAATTTTTTACACAAGGGTGTTAAGGAATTCTTTGTGTAGTTATCCATCAGAAATATGTAAGCTGCTTTGTCAAGATTTATAAAGCAAATGTAACCTCACATTGTTTTCTGTTCAGTCCTTCATCAGCTATTCTCTGTTTATTTCAGCTTTAGGAGATACAAATTATGCAAATTTCTGCAACTGCGGGAAGACAATTGAACGTTGTCTTCGGGAACTCGGAGCCAAACAGTTCTACCCGACGGGGTACGCAGATGACGGCGTAGGGTAAGCAGACAACCAACTTTTCTCATTTCTTTCTTCTCTGTCCCGCTGCAGTTTTATAATCTCGCCAATTTTGTTGTGTCTAAGGTTGGAGCTGGTTATTGACCCTTGGCTCAAAGGACTGTGGAATTCCATTAAAGACACCTTATCAAAGATGGCTTCTGACAGAACTGTCCAACTTAAGGAAGATTCTGCCAAAGAAATTCCTGAGTCATCCTTACCGGACGTCCAGTTGAACCACTTGAGCATCGCTGATAAACAGATCTGTGAGCCAGACTCTAAATATTCATCTTCTTTGGTCATTTCTAATGTCAGGCCAGCTTCAGCGTCAACTGTCTCTTCATCAGCACCAAAAACACAAGCCTGTAGTGAAGGAGTCCCCCAGGTTTCCTTGGCAGCCTCACTGACAAGCTCCCTCCCGCCGCTGTCTGAGTCCTCTTTGAATGTTCCTGTGCTACCGCCGCCATACTTAGATGTTACTTTACAGGAAGCAGACGCTGTGGAGCAGGTGATGAATTTTCAAGATGGAAAAGGAAAACATATCTGCTATACTTATCCCTTCACCCCATAAATGTTTTCTTTTTTCAGGCTGTTGAACATTTGAGCAAGGAGACTTATAATGAGGTGCCCATTTCTAAGGCGGTTCAGCTGAGTAAAGGAGACTCGGTGAAGACAGCTCTTCTGCTGGAACTGGACATTTCTGTAAGCATCACAATTTACTATGTAGTTCCCACTCTACTTATTGATTCCTCTTGCAAAGGTGTATTAAAAAGTCTAAAATTAAATAACTTTTTTGATGCATTCACATCGTCTCACATGGAAAACTGTGGAAAAATCCAAACTTTAATTTAAGCACACATATTGAATAAATGAACCATCTCTCATCATCCCAGATCATCTTTTATAGTGTCTTTTCTTAAGTACACCCCACAGGTTTTAGGTCTGGGGACTCAGATGGCTATAAAAGAAGCTTGATTCTGTATTCTGTATTCAAGTATATTCATTTTTCAGGCTCTATTAAAACTCTTCATCTACAATATTACAAAAACAATCACTGCAATAAATATGGAAATCTTAGATTTCCATATGATTGGAGTGAAATAAGTATCAACAATGATGTTCTGTTAGAGGTGGCCACATTTGCATTTAAAACAGCCTGTTATTTCAAAGAGTTCAGCTCCGCAGTGAGCGTGAGGTGCTTTTCCTCACAATCACCTGCAGAAAGTGCCGCCACAACACGCATCGCCACCCATTTGTTGAGACAGGGATGATATAAAATAAATTTTCTGGTTCATCCGTAAAGCTGCACGTTAACTATCTAATGCGCAGCCGCCTGCAGTGTTCAGTCTGTCCGCTCACCTGTATTAATGCACCTGCAGAGTTTTCCCTGCCATTTGGTCTGAACCGCCACCAAGCAGCAGCTCCGGGAGGAGAAAAGCTGCCATACTCCAGGCATCGCGCCAGTTATTTTAAGAATGCTTATTGGTCCCCCGAAAAATGACAAAAACCCAGACTTTATCGTCAATCAATAAAATCCTCCCAGGCTGAAAACTGGACGTCATGCTGAAAGACTTAGCTTTCGTCAACAACTCAAGCGGAGGTGAGAGCCCTGCACAGCGCAGGTAACAACCCGGCCGGTGCGCTAAATAATAAAATATAATTTGACGAAGCTTCGAGGCAGATAAATTTTCCTTGAGGAATTTTAATGATCGAGGTACTCAAAACGCTCAAGGAATTGTTTCAGCCCTAATAGGGTCTCATGGTTATTAGCAAGCTAATAACTTGAGTTCTCTTTCTACTTTGGGAATATTTATTTTCCTCTCTTGCCATCCTCTTTGCTGTGATTTTCTTCCAAGTTAAATTGCGTCCTTGCCCAGCCTTGTTTGTCACAGTTCCAGTGCTCTTGCAGACATTTTCTTACTTATGAAGATCTGGTTTACATGAATATATGATGGTATTCAGTGGGGCTTTCCCCGCTAAACAAATGGCTTGAGGAGTCTACATTTTTCTGTTAGATTATGGTACCACAAATGAATTTATTGTAAGACCTTTTAATTAATATTTTTACCAAATAAGTGGGGAAACTGCTGTGTATAACGGGGTATAACGACAACATTATATAACATAGGTTGTTACATTTTCATTTCATCACTAGGCTTTCCGATCCATGACCTATCACCCTGGAGATTCTTTTGATGTGTTTTGCCCAAATATGGCCATAGAGGTGGACCATCTGCTCCACAGACTCGGCCTTCAGGACCAAAAGAACCATCACGTTCAGATCTGTCTTAAACAAAATACAAAGAAAAAAGGTAAGGTCAGAATACAGAATAGGTTTTTGTTTGCTTTTTTTGTTTAGACAGCCAAACTCCTATGTAAATATGTTGTAACAAATTGAGCATCATTTTGTGTGTTTTTCATAATAAATCCTCTTTCCAAATTGTAGTTTTACATTCTTAGATTTTCTTTTCTTCCCTTCTGAAGGTGCTCAGGTGCCACCTCACATTCCTGAAAGCGTTTCACTGCTGTTCCTGTTCACTTGGTGCCTTGAGATCAGGAGCGTTCCTAAGAAGGTACTGCATGTTCCAAGGTTGCTCTGCAGCCACTTCCACTGTCTTGGCTTAGTTTGAACATGAGGTTATGACAAAAAACAAGAAGACAAAGTTATTTCAGCAACCACTTAAATGATTCTCATTTAGTCCATGAGAGTTTAGGCAAAAGGAACAAGAATAGTAAAAAAAATGTGGTGTGAGTATCAGTAAATTGATTATGTTTGTTATAGATGTTAATGAAAAGATGCAAGTGTTCTTCCCCTTCACCCCGCAATGAATCTTTGGATAGGGTCAGCTGAGAAGGATCCACCTTACCCATTGTTTTAATCCGGAAAAAGAAGAATGCATTTGGAGGTGTCTTTGAATTTAGACAGCCAAATTCGTCAGATTGTTGTGACTTAATTGACTTCAAATGCGGCCCTTGAATGAGGAAGCCCCTGAGTTGAGATTGACCCTAATAAGCCAACCCAAGTCATTATTTATGATTTAACCCAAAAAGGGTTTTTTCTGGTCTATGTGGTTTGCAGCGCTAATGCTAAAGGCAAATAACTTCCTACTGCAACATTCTTCTGCTTTTTCCTTTTGAAGGGATTACAGATAACATATAACCCTCCAAGACTGGCAAGCTTTTAAAGTTCTTGTCGAAGTTCGAGAAAGGAAAAAATACTTCACTTGTAGTGTACATGTAATTAATTGCACAATTCAGATATGATTAACATATAGTTCCTTATCTGTTTTGCGACTGAGCAAGTCTACTGGAGCTTAGTTTGTCTTTCTTAAGCTCGAGCTCCAGAAAGAAATGCTGGGGTTCAAAGTTTGCTTTGACAAGTTTAGCTGAGGCTGAATTTACTCAGTCTGGGGCCGAAGTTAAAATATTCATCAAACTTTTCTGGTCGCCTGAGGCGGGGTAGAATTAAAATCGCATGTAGAGTGTGAAAATATCAAGTTGTAGCAGTACTGAGCTGTGAAAAAAATGTATGAGCTCTGGTCAAGAATGTGCTCTGAACAAGTTTCTTTTAGAAATCTTTAAACACCTTGCAGTCATTGTCTTTCTTTTTTACTTCTGTTTAAAGATTGAATTCACATTTATGTTTCCCAGGATGTATCATTTCATTAGATATTTTTATATTTTGGAGAGCATCATTATTTCATTATGCATAAATCAGTAAGTAATACAAGTTTGTGTCATTGATCAATTTGAGGTATATTTAGTCTTGAAAACCACTTACAGTTTATGACACATTCCACTGCAGTTTTAACATGACGCTATTTATATTGGAATATCAAATAACAGTGTGTCGGTCAGTATAGTTGAACATTAAGAAAACTTAACACTGTTTTTAAATATGGCACATGTCTATTGATCTTTGTGAGGTCAGGAGATTACAGGAAAGACAAAGTTCACCTAAACTTGTTCATATCTACAGATGTAGAACATCTGAAACAACTGAATGTGTACCAAACAAAAATTGATGAGGACCCAAATTAATATTTTTAATGAGTAGATGACAGTGCATAACTTATATTTTTTTTCTGTGAAATTGTGATACTGCAATGAAAGCAAAAATGTTTGTGCTGTTTTACCCATCCAGAATGATGCTGAGCTCTATTCAGCTCACTTGGAAAAAACTTGATTACATTTAAAAACGTTTATTATAGCCATATGTTTTTGTTATTTATTAAAACTATTGTAAAAACTAAAACAATAGCTTTAATAAACAATAAAACCATAAGAGATTATTACCTTGGCATATCCAGAATTCCAAACAGAAATGCTTTTCTGTCACGAAAAGTAATATTTTTCTAGATTTTTATTTAAAAGTCGTATTTTCATGGTTGTCATTGAAGATAATTATTCAAAACTATATGAAGACATCTTGCTAATCTGTGCATGTGTACACAGCTGTGTGAAATTATTCAAGCCACCGATGCATAATTAACGTCTTTCCACAATTTGGTTATTATTTTTAATTCACGGCTATTGAAGGAAGTTGTGTGTTTACTTTTTAATAAGGCTTTTGGTGCTTTCAATTAATGTTATTTTTAAACATTTTAATTGAAAACACAACCTAAGTTTGAGAAAACAAGTTGTTTGTAATTTTGAATTAAATGGCATTTAAATTGAAAATTTAACAAGATGTCAGGGAATAGAGCTCAATACTTGATCGCAATAATATGTTTTGATGAATCTGTTTGAGTATTAAAAGCCAGCAAAACCATCTCCAAGTTTAATGATTATTTATAGTGGCTGAAGCAGCAGCACATTTATTAAACTGTCTCGCACAACGAGGCTAGAATCAAGGTCTTCCGGTTTGCATCGTTAAATGCATTTGCTTCTGTGGGTGAAAACTTCAGTAGGGATAAAATGCAGAAGGAATGTCTGCCGTGGCTGATAAAGGCACAGAGCAGCTTTGGTTGAAACCACATCTGTTTTGTGTGCCTGTGTGAAGGCTTTTCTGCGAGCGCTGGTGGAACATACGTCAGACAGCGCCCAGAGGAGGAGACTGCAGGAGCTCTGCAGTAAGCAAGGTGCTGCAGACTACAACCTCTATGTACGAGATCCAAGCCTCAGTGTGTCGGAGCTTCTCGCAGCCTTCCCGTCCTGTTCGCCTCCTCTCAGCCTCCTAATAGGTCAGACATTAACCTGCTTACTCAAGCACTTTTGGTTCTGGTCACAAGTTTACACACACTCGAAAACACAAGTTGGGGCTTTTTTGTGGCTTTTCATAGGATTAGAATCTTACAAACAGGCTCAAATATATAAATATACCCCAAGTAATGTTTACGTTAATACTTACCCTGGAAGCTCCACCTAACTGGAAAAAAAGAAAAAACTTGTTAAGCTTTTTTTGTCAGACATTTTTTCTAACAAGTCACAGAGAGAAAAAAAATCTCTGCAGATCACATTTATTTTTTACTATACTTGTTTACCTTATTCTTTCTGTCACATAATCCATAGGAGTGTGCTTTGTATTGATCCAGCCAGCTACATCAGTAGCATATAAATATTCTGAATGTTTTCATTTTGTTCTCTTCAACAGTTGTGTAAAGATATTTAATGAAAAGTATGCTTTCATACTGCCATATGTTGCACTATAACACTTTCATTAGATTTTTGTTTTCTTTAACCAGACTTTATGTTTTGGTCAAGGCAAGCAGCAATCTGTGAATGAACCGGACACATTTTTTTCTGTTATGATACATTTCGTCCATTAGGCGTCACTATAACCTCATAAAAAAAGCTGATTTTTTTTTTCAAAGCTTTTAATCACAAAGTAGTCCACCTCGTCTAATTTAGAAGACTCCCAAAGGGTCAACACTTATTTCTCTGTCGAATTTTTTTTTTTATGCGCGTCAGCTCCAATAACAGTTTGGTGTCATAATTTCAGTGTGTGAAGGTTTATTGCTTACCTACATCAGTGCTAATAATTTTATCGTTTCTCATCTTTCTTGGACCAAACTGCAGGTCGAAAGCAAACATTTTCCTTCAGCTCATTAAGATAGTTGGCTGGTCATCCTACATGGATCCTAATAGGCTTTGACTGAAACTTACCCGACAATGAAATTAAGTTGGCTTCAGCTTCATATACACAAGTTGAGTTGTCCTCCAAAACAGCTGTGTCACAGCTCTCCACCTACCCCAATGTCAGTTATTTTAGGCCAATCTTGCCAAGCGCAGCACCTTTTTTTTCTTCATTTCCGTGGTGAACTGATGCAGAAACCTCTTATCTGGACAGTCTTGCCCTCGTGAAAAATGGTGCGTTCAAGGCCCCGCAGGGCAACAGCTGTTGGCTGGTTTGCGGATGAGACTCGGATCTCTGGGAGGACGGGGGAAAAAAGAAAAAAAAGTCCGGGGTCTGTCCGGATCATAGGTTAATGGTCAAATCTGGCTCAGAGAGTCAACTGGAAAGTGCTCGTCTGCAATTTTTCCACTTCTCCTGCTTCATTACCTCCACCGAAGGAAAGGTGTTTGCTGATGTTGTACACTGACTGTAAATACCAGGGGGAAATGTATTTAAGCCCAGATGTCTACATCCCACTTCAGGTCGAATGTAAAAGTAAACTCATGGTATAAATTGAGGGAGATTTCTACTGCTTAGAGCCAGCTATCTTGTTAAATGATCCATTGTTCCATTGTGTCAAATATAAACTTTGGGGTTACAGCCTCAGGGAAAGAAATGTTCCTGGAAATGCTCTATATGAGCATTTCTTTAGTTTACTTTACTGCTGGGTTGCAATGAAATAGTGTAGCTTTTAGCTCTCAGGTTTTTTAAGCTTGGTTTTTACTTCTGCTACCTAGTAAATCAGTCTAAAGTAGACAGAATCTAGCTCTGTAAAACAAGTATCCACCCCTTACAGCTTTCTTCTGTTTTTCCTTTTATGCTACACTTAATTAGCCAAATAACCTAAGTCAGTGCGCGTTTCAAGCCAAAGCCACTTTCGACTAAAAAATAACACAGTCTCAAACCATCACACTTTCACAACTACTGTGGAATAAATAGCATTTCGCCTTCAAAACTTTAAGCTCTGCTCTCCAGGAGAAAATTCCGAAAACTGACCATCAGTTTTTGACCTTTAAATTGGGTGTTCTGAAAAAAGGCTAATGAGCCAACGCTGACACACGCAAGTCCACCTCTGGATCGCTAAAAATAGCCAAAATGAAGGTTAAGAATTTGAATCGGATTGAAATTGTACGGGGTAACCTTTGGGAGGCCGTTCATGCTCAGAAACTCTCAATGGAACAAAATTAAAACAGATCTGCAAAGAGGACTCGGCCAAAATTCCTACACATTGGCGTGAGTGGCTCTTTGGAAGTTGTTGCAAACCCGTAATGGCAGAAAGTAGACTTGGGTGGGTTTTGATGTCCCGTTTTTTGCTCTTTCATCACTAAAATAATTGGTTGAAAACTGTACTTAGGATTTATGTTGGCTATGTTTATCTGATATACATATTTTTTGGGAGATTAAGCATGTGAAGTGTGGGGGAAAAGAAATCAAAAACATAATAAATCTGTGAATTCTTTTCACTCTTGACAAATACATTTGTCCTAAGAAACGAGACCTGCACCATACATCACTCTGCTCATTTAAATTTTATTTAAATGTTTCATTATATGGGTTTTTAAATGGAACTCATAATCTCTCAGTTGCTTAGGTTTTTAAAACGCTTTGATGAGAAATACTTCTTTAATGCTAACGACCTCCCTAATTTTTCATGCAGCCAAATAAAACTACGGTATCCATAAGTCTCATAAGGTTTACACTTTCACTGTAAGCAATGTTGGTGTCTTATTTTGTAATCCATAAAAAAACTGTACTTTTGCATAGAAATTGCATCACAGATGCACATAAAATAGATTACACTAGGTGCACTGTGATCGATGATTCCCCTGAAAATGATTATTTCAGAATACATTTCAGGCGATTCTTAGACTAAATTTGTTGGATGAGAATTCATGTTCTTTTCCTCTCAAGTGGATAATTCAAAATGTGCCCTGTAGCCACTTACTGTTAAAAAAGAAAAAGAAAAAAAAAGTTTTGTCTGAGAAAGTTTTTGAAGATAGACATCTTTCGAATGGAAGGGAGGTATCATCATGTCGCAGCACTGCAAGATGATGGATTGATTTTGTTCTGCTTCAGACATGTCCTGTCACTCAGTGATAGAAAAGCAGCAACTGGAGCGCTGTGCAGGTGTATGGGATTGTGTTAAGGTACATGATACACCTTCTGATGGGGAGGTGTGAGCTTTCACTGACTGAAAGAACTGGATCAGAAGTATTGTCCAAAAACATCTAGCTTTGCTTTGCTGTTACTTTGACAGTGAGCAGTAAAATTATTTATTACCCTTGAAACTTTTGTGAAGTGGAAGGAAAAGGACATTTTGTTTTCAGGTGTTTTTTTTCTCGAAATAAAGTGCGGTTTGTACTTATTTGCCATCCTATTTACTCTGATACTCTTAAATCAATTCAGTTCAAGTTTGTGCAGTTTATTTACAATGTACAGCTGTTCATCATGCTGCAGTGAACACACAGCATCAAGGAAATCTAAGTCAGACAAAGTTTAAAACACTGTACAAGCCATCATCTGAAAATACAGGGAAGAACCTTTTTTGTATGTTTTTCTATTTTTTTTATTTTTTCAGAATTAACTGATAAATTGGTTAGAGCCCACACTGTTCAGTGTTTATTAGTTTACATCTCAAATATTCCTTGAAAATTGCACACTATGTGTGGATATCTCCAATTAAATTCCCACAAACACCTTCAAGTTTTGGGATGAAACATGAAACAAAATATGATTTTTTTCCCCCAAATGTTATACATAGTTAACTGTATTTTTGTTTTGATGGTGTAAAAACTTTGAAAAGCATCATTGATGTTTTTAATCCATCTTGCTTGGGCTTAGTCCTAATTATTTCTTAACATTTTATTCAAAACTGATTCACTTTGATTTGCTCCAGTGCTACAAGCACATTGATTACAGAAGAGGCAAGACCAGCCAGAGTTCTTGGTGCATTTTGTTGATTACAGCTTATTTTTTGTGCATTAGGGATTTTTTTTTTCTGTCCCAAAATAAGAAAGCTTCAGTCTCTGCTGTGTTTGATCCACCAGCATAGAGTTTTCACAAGCATTTGTTTGGTTGCATTTTAAATAAGATATTTTTTTATGTCAGTTTATGCTGGAGCTTTATTACATTTTGTAGGCCATTTCCACAGAAATGTGGCAACAAATCTCCTGCTACTTTGAAATTCTTCTGTTTTTTTTTCTTTTTCACTGAAGCCAGATACTGTAAGTCCTCTAACTCTAAAATCTTTTTGCGGATCGTTAACACTGATATATTGACTGCTTTCGCTACTCAGTTTGCTTCTCGAACTTCTGCTTTCTCTGTTTTTGGAAAGCAGAGATATTTAGTCAAAGGGACAAATGGATTTCAAACTGCAGAGCTGCTTCTCGGGCATTTTGAGCCTTCCAGACGTCGGATGAACCCAGAAAGAGTCGGGGGAACAAATTCAGTGCAGCTGTTTTGTCTTTGTGAGCAATTTAGCAGAAAAATGTGTTATTGTAAAACCTCAGCTGGTTACATTTGCAACAAATTTACCCATTCCCCCGTCATCCATCAGGCAGATCCAACTAAAAGGCGAGCATCACATAACTCTCAACTTGCCGCCTTCTTGCGTGTCTAATGAGCAGCGCAGGTCGCTGCTTGGAAACGCTGCGCAGTTGCTACAGGGTCAGAAATATCTCGTACTTTTCCTGATTTTCTCTGACACCTCGTCACGCGCATTACCTTAAAAAGGGCACCTTCATGCCTGGCATTGAAATAAGCTGTGCATAAGCAATCTGTTTCCTACTGGCTCCACATCTGGACGCCTGGGATTCTATAACCCTGAGTTTGTAATTTCATAAATATAGAAATGTGTCCCAGAAACAAGACCGTAACCTGGGTGGAGGGGGGTTTATTGAGGATAGATTGGTATAGGCAGGATGTCTCAGTGGACCACAGTGACTTTCACATATCTCTTTTTCCCTCCTCCCCTCTGCTCTGTCATGGGTGTAACAAGATCTTAGCAAGACAACAAGATGATTGACATTTTTGCTTGCCTTTCAGAGCTTTTGCCAAAACTGCAGCCCAGGCCTTATTCAGCAGCAAGGTAAGTTGACAGAAAAAAAAAAAAAACAACAAAAAAAACAAGTTTGTTCTGTTTGTATGCAGTTGTTCCCTGACATTCAGTTTTTATCTGGAATAACACATGTCCATAAGTGTGTGTCTTATTTTGCTCTGACGGATTGTGGGGAATTACTTTTTTTTCCTGATTTCTTCTGGGTATTTTCAGGCTCCACAAACAGGGAAGATTAGTGGTCCCTGCAACAGCTGTGATAATTTAGGTAAAAGAATTGAATTGTTTGGTCTCTTCAACCCATTATTATATATTGCCGTGGATTATAGTTGGTCGGTAAATCTTCAATTTTATTTATTATTATTAGGCCATATTGAAGCTCGGAGTTTGAGTTTATATTGTGATAAAATGCATTATGAAATGTAGGAGCATTCATACAGGAGATGTATGGCGCCATGCAGAAACAGCAATACTTGTTGCAGATTACCATGGATTGGTGTTTGTAGAGATCTTTTTTTTTTTCCTACACAACTGATTGGATTTTAAATATTGCATAGCCTTTAGCCAGTTGTACTTAGCTTAAATAGGTCGAGCATTCCTTCTTTTAGCCTCACTTAGCTCGTCATTGATTTGCTTGTCCTTTCAAGCTACTGCCTATTAGGCTTGCTTTAAAGCTCGTGTGGAACAGCAGCGTCTAATGCAATGTCAGAACTTCCCAACTGCTCTCATTAGTCCCGCATTTTAGCTGTGTATTTATGCATGGGTACGTGTGTGTTTGTGTGGCGAGGCGGAGAGTGGACAGGAGAGAGGGTGGCTGTAGTTTATCAGATGGTGCACAGACATTAGAGACTTGCATTATTGATGCTGTGGTCAATAGAGGTCTCCAGTGGCCCACAGGAACTGGAAAGTGAAGGATGAGAGGAGCACATAGTGCTGTAACCAGCAGCAGGGATGAGAACACAGAGGCGGTAGAGACACATTTACTGAAGCCAGGCAAGCAGAAACATTTACGATTATGTCCACATTTGCTGGTGCCAGGCTGCAAAGACTATAGGGTAGCCCAACTAATTCTGGGGAAAATGTGTAAATGGTTGTACATTTATGTTTTTGATAGAAAATACCAATAAACAGCCCTGGAAAAAAAAATAAAGCAAATGGGGATTTAATGTATGAATGATCTACTTTTTCTTAGGTACAATAGTTATTTAGTTTAAACTCCAAGTTTTCAAAGCAACACAGCGTGCACCCCGAGACCCAAGGTACATACAGGATACATTAAAACCTAGAGTTCAAAAAAGGGTATGCATATTTCTCCCAGGACTGTATCTTGATATTAAATAGAACGTAGGTAGATGGGTTGATAAATATTAATAAAAGCGCTTTTACTATTGCATTAAGTAATTCAAGAAACATATTTCCAGTTTTATTAAAAGTCATTGAATGTTAAAATTATGCATACATTTTTCAGTGTTTATTTCATGTTTCATTTGCTTTACTGCACCATGAAATATAATAAAATATTCAATAGTATGAAATATAATGTGCCTCTGCAGTTGCTTAGATACACTCTTAACATCTGATTGGTTAACCTGCACTTCTTGTTAACTTCTGTTCATAGAAATTAACCAGAGCAGTGGAAATCCTGCCCACTGATCCTGATGCTAAGGACTTGCTGATAAAATAAATGCCAATCGTACAGCCTCCAATATTTAAACAAATAGTGAGGCTGTCACATATTCCCTCTGTAAGAAATATATGGGACATATTTAGTGAGCATTTATATGTAATTGTCCAACATTTGTGGTAAATTTAAATTGACTGGTACATTTCAGTTTGAGTCAATAAATGGCTGATGGAATTTGATTGATTTGTGGCCCAAAATAAACTCTACAAAATATTGCTTGTGTATTAAATATTTTTTCTAGTCCTGTTGTAATCAGGATGCTTAGTTATTTTATTTCTAAATATAACTTTTAGTTAGTACAATGTGGCAATTTTTGCATTTGATTAAAAAAAAGGCTAAATAAATAAATAAAAATATTGATTAGTTTCAAAATTTTTATGATTTAAACTTCATATTTATAGATAAACAGGCAACTTTTATTAGCCTTTTATTGTTACACTGTACTACTGGCTGTTCATGAAGATTCTCTTTCATTCTCTGTATTTCACCTTATTTTCTCCTGTCTCTTTTTCTGTTTGCCCATTGTTTTCTATATTTATGCCTTATGCAATCACTCACTGTATTTCCTCTCTGTTTCCTTGTCTTGTCCTCTCTGGGTTCATTTCTGCAGTTCCCTTCTCAGGCATCCGGAAAAACTGCATTTTGTCTTCAATGTGGTTGAGTTCCCAGCGTGTTCTGGAAGGCCCGCAGGCAGTCGAGGCTTGTGCACCGGCTGGCTGTTTGACCTCGTCAAACCTGGCCTGGTTTTCCCTGAGAAGGCTGGACTGGCTCTGCCAAAGGTAATCATTTTCCAGGAGAGAATAAAACTGAAATTGCATCTAAATCATCTCTTAAGTGCCCACATCAGCTGATGAAGTGCTCAAGTCCTGTTGAAGTTCAAAGCTTCCTTCCTCCTGAAATATGTCGGCTTGGATTTAAGCTCTATTTAATACACATGTTCTGCTTTGGAAACTCTTCGGGGTGACAGGCAGAAACAATCCGCTTTGGACCACTTGTGTGCACCTAATTAAAAAGAAGAAATTGCCGACTCAATAGATTCCAGCTAAATCACACATTTTCTCATTAGAGCATTTTAGAATAATGAGTAGATCAATTATTAGAATTGCTGGGCCCAAAGAGGCTTTACAGCACTGTTGTAATTAAGCTCATTATTTTAAATGATTTGTAATGCTTTCTGACCTCAGATTCATGTGCGTTTGAGACCCAACTGCTCCTTTCGACCTCCCTCTGACCCTTCGCTGCCCTTCATTATGATTGGACCTGGAACTGGAGTGGCTCCTTTTATAGGCTTCCTTCAGCAAAGGTATGACCTATGGATGTCTGGCTTGATGGCTGACTCAATACATGAACAGGTTGAGTGCCGGACTGACTGATCGAAGTTGTAATGTCACTTTGCAACAATAAGATTGCCGGCAACCTAACCAAATCAGTTCTCCTTTAAGATTTCTTTCACTGATTTACCTTGCTATAAAAGAACAAGGGAGTTACATTCATTACTCTTCAGAACTCTCCACATTTTTATTTAATTATTTTTTTGCGATATTTAGTTTTCTTGACACCCTCATCTTTTTCCCAGATTATATATAATCTTCTCCCATAAACGTCCTGTTAAATATATATTTTTTGGTTAATGAAATGTTTTTTTACAATACAAACACCAGAGGCACCTCGTTAATATTTTATTTAAACTACACAGTTTCTCAAAGAGTAAAACTTCTTAGCTTCAGTGGGCAGTCAGTTCTGGTTTTCAAATATATCTGGGTTCTTGGGTACATTTGACCAACCTGTGACTCACTAAGATCGCAATAAATCTTTTCTGTTGTTGATTTTTCAGTGATGATCAAATTTTTGTTAGTGTTACTTCACAACACTATGTATAAGAGAGACTTTCCTTGAAACTTTTTTTCCCCTTTTTGCAGTCGGTTAGAAGGTTTCAGATGCTCAGTTTGGCCATGAAGTGGTTGATTTGAACCATTCTCTTTTCAGAATGGAATAATGATGCAGCCATTGATATTCAGTAAATTTGAAAATAAGAACCAGATTCACAAGTTTGAATACACTGTAAATACTCTACTGTCCACATTTAGTCAAAATTATATTAACAGTTGGAACCAGAAGTTCATATACATTGAATAAAAAGACACACCTTTTTTCTCACTGTCTGTAGTTATGTCAGACCAAGCTTCTCCTGTATTTGTTGGAATAATAAATGTTATTTCTATTTACTTAATGTTACAAGAATGCTTGCCAATACTATTGCACATATGCACACATGTAGCAACAAAAATTTAGTTATTTATTATTTTGTAATACAATGTGTAATACAATGTATGTGTTGTTCGATGAGTGGACATGCTTCACATCCGTTTCCCATTTGGAAAAATACAGGTTAGTTTTAGTTTATTTGAAACACTGACAATGTGAAAAAAACATTAATAGAAGATGCTTTTCACCAAATTAACTTAAGCTAGTTTCCATCTTTAGCTCCTTTACAGTCTAAAATCATAAAACTTGCATTGAACCTCCCTATTTATCCTACATACATATAGTGTACAAAGTCATATAATCTCAATATAGACAGTACTAAATATCACACTTCTGTTCTGTAATCACTAATGTCAAGATTACAGTTTTTATTTTTCATCATTATCATCAGCATGTCTTGCTGAAGCTCTCTGTAAGTGCTTGTTGGGTTCTGGACAAGTCTTTTGATTATTCATTTGGGCCTTCTGTTATAAATCTTGCAAGAAGCACCTGGTTTATGGGGAAATTATATTTTTCCCACTTCAGAATAATGGCTTCGGTTCCACTCACTGGAACATTTGGATGTTTAGAAATGCCTCTGTTTTATTTGCAATGAGTATGTTTTGGAACAGTACCACTTTTTTGCTCAGGTCTCTTTGTCTTTACGAGTGATACCCCTCTGTGTAATGGCTTGGTGATGACAAACTCTTTTATTGGCCATCAGTTAATATTAAACCACCTGTTACTGGCTTGTGCTCGCAGCATGGATGCTTCTAAATGCTGACACATTTCAGATGGTCTCTTGGCTTTGTGGACCAACTATTTCCTTCACATGCTCAAATTATATTTGTTCTCTTTGTTATTCCAGAGTTTCACCTATAACTTTATTTGTTGTATTTTGATTGCTTTGTGTAGATTACTTAGGTTTCATGCCAGCATGTCATATGAACTTCATGCCGATAGATATATTGGAAACATTGACATGTTTAATACCTATTTTAGCAATGGTATAGAATTTTTGTGAGAGAAACTCCTCAATGAATTCACAATAATATTCAATCAAGCCATTTGTTGCATTATCATTACATTTTGGAAAAAGAACCATTTACTGGTAAATGCACTGTTTTAATTGTCTAGTTGCTGCTTATTGTAATTTAAGAAGTTCTAGTGATACAAAATGTTTTTTTTAAAGTACCTTTGAACAAGACATAGTTCTAACAATCCCATAAAGATGATGATGTTAAAAGCCATCTCAGAACTTAAGTATCCTTCCTCCTACAATTATAAAATGAACAAAATAATTGAACCTTTGAAGTGCTTAGAAGACTTTTCCATTTTTTCCCCATCAGTAGACCATTTAGAGGGCAGTCCTTCTAATTATCAGCTGATAGTTAAAGAAATTATAATTGGGATGGTTAAACTTTGCCTTCCACTGTGAAATAATGCACTTTTTTTCAGATCTCTACTTTGAAAGTGTCCTCATCAAGAGCAATACATAATGCACTTGAAACTTGTCACAGTTGTTAGCTACAAAATTAACACTTGCAGTAAGCTGGTAAAAATGTTCATGTCAAGTCAAAGTGCTGCAGACAGTGACATGTACTCATCCCTGATAAAATGTGCTCCCCATTATGAATATTCACCATGTTGAAGTAGTTTTAAGTGCACATCATCTTGCATATTTTGAAGTAACCTGCAGAGACAATTAGATGAGATACAACACAGCGCTTATAAAAGTCCACATCATGTAAGTTGTAAATGTAGAAGCGAGGGCTGCGATTATGTTGGGGATTATTCCGGATGCAGTCCTCGTTCCTGCAGGAGTAAATCTGTCCTACTCAGATGGGCATGTTTATGACTCCTGTAATAAAGAGCGAGGATTCAAAGCAGCACATGGGGTGTTATTGATTCGAGAATAAAAAGTCCAGAAGGTGATGGCTGTGTTAATGGCTTAAATCACTGCTTGTAATTGCTGACTATGTGGTGTGAAAATACTCACCGTCAGCCAAGTAGGATGCAATTACATCCTACATCAGCCAAGTAGGATGCAATTACATCCTACTTGGCTGATGTAATTGTCAAAATATACTTATTAATTAGTTTGACCAACACTTGCTCAGGTTGAGGAGCTCATTGATTTAAAGGTAAACGCCAAATTTTGCAAGATGTTAAAATGGATGTTTACTCAAAGACAAAAAGTGTACCTCTTGTTTATTTCCCTAACTATTAGCAAGTTATAAACTTCAGTATGTTTCATTGGGATAGACCAACACAAAATAGTCCACATGAAGGCAGCAACGTACTTCATCTGAAGTGCCAAAATATACTCATTGACTTAGACCCACAACAAAAGAGAGGCATCTATCTGCCAAACTTGACATTTCAGCCCTGGTACTGAACTCTGTGCAAAAGGTGTATGCGAATACAAACAGTCTGCGACCGTGTGACAGTGTGTTGAAGATTCGGTTTTGGATGAAGTGTGTGGGAACCTTTATGAAGTTGAAAGAAAATTATACCCGTTCTTTTTTAAACTGTAAAGAGGTGCACAAAAGGATCCACACATAATGACGCTGCCAAGTGAAAGTGTACAGATTCAGTGTTAGTTTGGTTTGTAACCACTGGGTATGAATACTTTTGCCTAGCACTGTAGCTCAAAACCGCATGAGCTGGACCTGTCAGGTAGCTTCAGTTTGACGGACGCCTCTCTATCTGAGCTGATGTTCATGCATTTAACCACAGCTGCTGTGACTTGTCAGAGAGCAGAGTAAGCCTTTTTTCCCCCACTGCTCTTCTTTAGTCAGACTGACATGTCTAAGTCGTGGGTGGCTTTGTGTAAATGAGGTTGCGCCCCAGTCAGCTCCAATTGTCTCTAAATCCCAGCGACGTCTGCTGTGTTGTGGCAGGTCTGCATCAGTGTGAGATTGCTCTGAGAGGTGACACGGCGGTGGTTTGACGGATTGTCTATGGCAGGAAGACTCAGAATGGATGACTGGTCATCTGGGGTAAGGTGGTGCTCAAGCCGCTGGGATGCAGAAGAAAATGTAGAAGGCGCACGTTTCTGTGCTGAACGGACCATACCTACTGAGAGGCTCAAACCAGAAAGAAGCACAGCTCTCTGCGGTTTTCAAGTCTTATTTATGTGTTATTCCCTGGGGGGCAGCTACTGCTCTTTGTAATATTAGACAAAAATACACGTGTAGGCCGTTTATTAAAGCAGGGTGCTCAGGCATCAATTGCCTGTAGAGGGATTTGTTTCATAATACAATGCACAGTCCTTCATCAAATTCTTCCAAGAAACTTCAGTTTTTATTTCATTAAATTTCCTTTATTGATCTTTCTTTTTTTCTTTTTTCTCTCAAGAAGCTCTTTGCTTCTACAACAAAAACCCTGCAAAATCGATTCATCAGCTCAACTGTCCTTTCCTTCTCCTCCTCTGCCGTCTCTCTTATCCTCCGTGCCTGCTAGCTCCAGATCGTCCTGGAGGATTATATAAACTTGTCATGGCGCGGTATTGTCGCAGCATCTAACCCGAGCTTTCCAAACAAAGCCTTGCCAGCCGCTCTCCGATAGGCGATAACAGTCACCAGTTTGTCAGCGGGGCGCTGTATCTAGCCTGCAGGCACGAGGCAGGTTCTGTTTGGCAACAAAACAACACAGGAACGCTTCGATCTTGTTGCCTCTTCTTTATTTTCCCGCCCCCACTGTTAATCAATGGCCGTTTTCAAAAGTACTTTGTACAAGTTAAGAGCGCTGGTAACAAGTGAGAGAAGAGTCTCCAAAGGTCAGAGGCTCACTTGAGGTGTACCGGGAAATTATAATGATGTTCCCGCCCCCCACTCGCAGTCATCTTGTATAGATTGCTGTTTTTGTTATTTTTATTATAATTATGGTCATTATTTTTCTTATTCTACTTTGCTATGAGCAAAAACAACCAAACAAAAGTCTTGTAAGCAAGAATTAAGCTTTTATCTTAATAGCGATGGGGTTTAAAAACCCCATCGTTTGAAAGACAAAACATCAGACAAGAGTAATGCTGGTTGTGCCTGCCAGCAGACATCTCTCACAAATTTAGTACGACAGTTTGTATGAGCAGATATTTATCTTCCATTAATCATTCTGAACAGTCATTTTGCTTTATAAAAAAAAAAGGCTGACTGTGTATTGGAGTAATTGTGCTGTGTACTTTCTCTGAGCTGATGTATTTGGGGTTTGTTTGTTTTTTAAATGAACACCGCCACTCAGATCTACCCTCATGGAGCTGCAAAGATAAAGATGAAAGATATGAAATGATTCTGATGTTTACCAAGTCTTAACCTCAGCTTCCTTCGCAGTTCCACCCTCCCCCCGCTGATCATCTGAATGGTGCTGATTTAAGCCCCAAATGGAGTTCTCCGTGGATGCCGCCTTTCCCCTCGGGATCGTATTGCAGGCTGTTATAGCGCGGGTATGTGATGTGATGTGATTTGTATTCAGGGAAAGGCGCCGGTGTGGTCTACTCAGAATGGAACCCAGGTTTTTCATATTGGTATTGATCCCTTTAGGGCTGGGCGGCGAGAGGATGGGGAGAGAGAGTGACGAGCCCACTAAAATGAGTTTACTTGAGGCCGTTGGCAGATCAGAAGAATCTCGTCCAGGATGCTAATGGATAGGATCTCAGCGTCCCAATCAAATCAGCCACACAGCTTTGCTGCAGAGCCTCGTGCAACAACATATAGTTCAGACAATGATTTCTAATTTACCAGTTCACTTTGTATTTAATTAACAGGAGAAAACTTTCACTGCAGTATTCACAATCACAGTTTTGTATCGATTTGCTTTCTTCCTTCAAGCTAATTAGTGTCTGGCCTTGACTTGCAATTGATTCATCTGTTCATTTTTCTAAAAAAATTTTTTGGAATTATTGTTCATCTAAACCTGGTCGTAGACAGAAAATCATATCTGTTGTTCAGTGTGCCCTCAAGATATACAGTTTATATTTACTCGGATTTGCTGCATATAACTACATACCACTGAACTGTTATCATTTTCACTTCAATCAGTTTGTCATTTGTCAGCATAAATACATGCATACATAAATAAAAGAGCAACGTTTTGGTGAATGAATCAAAATAGATGCAGTCGAACATGTACACTTTATGAAGAACATATGATCTGACTGATCAATTTTACTGCGTACATTGCTGATTGACAACTCCATTTAAAGAGTTTACTCTCAAAATTTGCTTGAAAATCTCCCTGGGATACAGTTTGCATGTCTCTGCTGCTGATTTTGCAGGATCCAAGTAGCCTCCTCCTGCAATCCCGTCAATAATTTTCTAGTTTTTGTTTACAATATTGGTCCATGATAGAGATGCAGCATGTTTTTAACACTGGAAAACTGATTCATATTCAGTTCATTTTGCCTTTCCCATCCTTGGCTTTAAAATGTTCAAATAAATACATCCCATTGTGAGCCGGGGTGTGCTGGATTGTACCAACTCAACCATTAAAAAGGATGGGATTTAAAGTTAGCATAATATCTAATGCTTATTTATTTATTTAGTTGAAAGAAATACAATGCAAATCATGACTACTTAAAGTAATCGGATTTCTTTGTGTCAAAAAGAGGAGAAGCAGAATCGGTTCACTTTGTGTTTGCCACCAAATGGATATAAGGCAAAAAGGGATGCAGCAGGGAGGGAAGACGGGCTCAGCCGATCTCCATAGATGGTCATTTCAGCTATCCACAAAAAGGGTAGCGAACAAAGATAAGTTGTGTGGACTTTCAGCCAACTAATCGCATCATGAAAGATTTGGGGTTAGCTGTTATCTGGGAGAGAGCTGTCACCACAGCAGCAGGTGTGTGGCACAGATAACCACATCTTCATAGCTGCTTTGTGGCACTGTGTGGTCTACAGGGGAATGCGGGAGGTTTGCCAAACTCCAAAGGAAACACTTTTTGGGGACAGGTGGACAAAAACACACACTGACGATGCCCTGTTTTCATTCTGAAAGACATTTATTGTGGTTGGATGAAATGTGGTCACAAGTGCAGCATAATGTCCTTGCTTCTACACACATGCTCATTTCCTCATTTGAAGCAATTGTGGCTCTCATTTTGCTGTCACTCCAGTAATTGTGTCGCTCCTCTTCTTTAACCTCTATTGCGAGGAAGGACTCACTCTCTTCCATCTGTCCTGGTTGCCTGCTCGTATTGATTGACTGCTAACATCCGGTGTTTGACTTTCAGAGAGGAGGAGAGGAAGGAAAACCCAGAGGCCAAGTTTGGTGAGACCTGGCTGTTCTTTGGTTGTCGCTACAGGGACAAAGACTACCTGTTCAGGTAAGCTGAATATACCCAACATATTCTGTGTTAGTTGGCTTCTCTGTCTGGTCACATACATGCATCTGCTGTTTGAAATCAGTTTCTTCCACCTCAATTATCCTGAAGGTTTTACTTAGATGTATAAGGATGAATTTGATTACGGTTTAATAACCATAGTTGAATGAAGGTAAAGCTAAATAGAGCGACACAGCACCACAGAAGAAACTGCTCTGGTAATATAAAACCAAATGTATTTTTCTTTTACCTTGGTGTCGTTTGTATTGAAAATGTGACACTTCACATCACCCTGAACTCACTGTCACACACTGACAAGGGAAGAGAAACTGGCCAAAATTGGTGGAAAGACAAACTAAAATCAGAAGCATTGCATAGGAAAATCTTTTAGAGGCTTTAGAAGACCTGAGAATTTGGTAGAGCTTCACCTTCTAAGGACAATGAAACTATTTTGCACAGAAGAAACACCAGAACTGAAGTTTGTAAAATGAACAAGCTGAAAGAGATCTTTCCCCAAAAAAGTTTTGATTCTATAACTGCAGCAATAGATGGTGGATGAAGTCCAATGGGAAGAATATATATTCATGCAACTCTTTTATGGTTTGCAATTGTAAAATTTTATTTGAACACAAATATATCCTTATATTTCCCATTCACAATAATGGCAATAATTCCACATTTTTTTGGCCTATAACATAAAATCTTAACAAAATACAGTGAAGCTTGTGGACATAAGACAAGGAAATGGAATACACATGTCCTTTCTGTTTTTATGTAAAGCAAAAGTAAGACATTTCATGTTCTGAAACTGAAATTGTTTTGCTTTGTTTTGATTTTTACAACTTTTGTTTTAAGTTCACTTTTATCTTTTAAGTTATTTATGTAACAAAAAAAAAGCCAACTAAAGCCACAATCCCTTCTCAGCACCACTACAGCCATAGATAAAGTTAGCAAGTAGAGGGTGGCGGCAAATAGAAAGATTTCCCCTGATGCTGCGGGAGACCAAACAGAACGTAAAAGTGGAGACTGCATCGGGCTCTAATTTGTCATCTGGACACAAGGCCCACTCCAAAAGAATGCTAATGTGCGCTGCACGTCTTCTGCATGTGTAACCGAGTAACTAATGTTGGGTGTCAGCGTTCTTTATAGCTTGTACTGCGGTTGTTGAAAGCCACTCTTGAAGTGATTTAGTATTTACTAACCGTTTGAGATTTAAAGAAGCTGGAGTAAATCACAAGCTCTTTTGTTCATTGATGGGAAAGTTCTTGCTTTAATTGATTACTATCACATAAATGATGGGATTTAACCAAAGGTGCGCAGAACATTTCTCTCCTTCTATTTAGTTTTGAGGAACTATTGTCCAGGATATTGGATAGGTTTACCGAATCAGATCTGCAGATGGTTGTCGCTCATCTTCACCTTTTTGGCTTCTGAATATAATTCTGTTAAGGTATTCTATACCCATTATATGCCCACAAAAGCTTTTACATCTGCTTGTCTGGAAGCATAATATTCCAACTCATTCTACAGTAAATGGATTGATTCACACACTTTTTAGCAGCATTTGTTGCAGAGGTGAGAAAAAAACAGGACTTACATCAGTTTATCAAAACAGTTGGATACAAGCTGGCAGCCTGCTAAAGTTTTTATGCACACAAAAAGTGAAAACAAACTAAATGTAGTTAAAAAGCGTCCAGTGTTTTGCAAAAAAAAAAAAAAAAGTTGTTGCACTTTTGCAAGTGTTGTACCTTTAATGTTTTGCTCCTTTTGTACCAGATTCTTTTTCTGGAACCAAATCTTTTTGTGCTGCAGGAAATTTTGAGTCAACTTGGCGTCACTTTCCATATGGTTTGACTGGTGACAAATTACATGTGGTTTTATGAGTGAAATAAATAGTCATATAAGTATATCTATCCATTACCTTCCACTCAGTCCATGGTCAGGTCTTTGGGACAGCAGACTAATCCTCACTCTATTTCAGTGTTTTCCAACCCTTGTCCTCAAGGCACACTGTCCTACATGTTTTAGAGCTTTCCCTGCTTTAATGTGCCTGATTCAATTGACTGCAGTTCAGCAAATGCTTGTTAATCAGTCATCAATTGAAATCAGCTGGACTGAAGCAAGGAAATACCTAAAACATGCAGGGTAGTGTGTCTTGAGGACCAGGGTTGGGAAACACTGCTCTATTTCAAGGGAGAGAGTCCAGACATGAGAAAAGCTCATGACCACAGAGGGAGGTAGTAATGTATATTGGCCAATCCGTATTCACATAGACATACCTTTTGAATCAACTGTCTCAAATAGTGGTATGAAGCAATATAAATAAGAACAGGGTGTAATTCAATTGTATTTAATAGCAATTCTAAATACAGCTAATGGTTATGTTTCCCAGCCTCTGTCTCTAAGCACACCACTGTCTGTGCATCCACAACCTGTCAGCTCTGTCAGCTGGCTGGGCAGATTCATCTATAAAACCAGCTGTCAGTTGTCATTTATACATCAGTAGGGGTTGCCCTTTTCTACATTGAGAACCAACAAAAAAGAAATAAAAGCCCTGTATCAAAGCACATAGAAAAAATATAAACATACTTTTCCTGGAGCAAGAGACGCTGCATTCTCAAGCTAAAATGATTTCATCTAAAAAGAAGAGGTTGCAGATAATTGTTTTCTGTTGGCTGTGTCCAAGAGAAATCTGTGAAAATACGCTGGCAGAATTTTCATCATCTGTCTTCTGGTTCTAAATCCACATTCACCTGAGCAATACTAAAGGTCTAACTTTTTATTGTATAAAAACTAGAATAGAAAGCAGTGGATGGCCATAACTTACTATTAGCTATCATCCAACACATATATCCTCCTTCTTATTAATTTTCCTCAGCTTAACTTTCTTTTGACTTTGTACTAATTGGTCTACATTTCCGGTAAGGGCACCAAGCATTTTCTAAATGCCCCGGTACTGATGGAGTTCCTTTGAAAGATGAAATAATGCAAACGGATTAGCATCGTTAATGACACAAGAACAGATCACAGAGGATGTTGTTTGTTCCTCTCTGTTTCTTCTATTCCTTTCTTAAATAGTAACTCCCAGCCAGGTAACGAGCATTGTTTGTTCACAATGTGGGCCTCTGTGATGAACACCCCCACAGTGTTGACCAAAGTGATTAGTCTGTGCTTTATGAGCCACCCATGAAGAGTTGTGCTCAATTTAAATAGGTTAGCAGAATGAGAACAACATGCCATCAGCTAAATGCGCTGCCTGCATTCATCTCTGTGGGATTTATCTTAACGCAAGTCCAATTTGACGTCTGCCTTTTCACTACTTTGGTTTCTATTTTTCCCCCCAGTGTTTTGGATGCTCAAAGAAAAAGTTGAGCTCCGGTCCAGAGAAGGGGGTGCAATTACGATAATGTCAAAACAGAATGTGATCAATTCTCAGATAAAGGCCTGAATTCAAAAATGGGGTGCGTCGCAATACGACGCAGCACTTAACGTCCCAGTTGGAGACCGATGGCTGTTTGTCACATCAAACATGCTTTCCTCTATTCTGCACGTGTCATTTACCCCTCCCTATGCTTTCCCAACCTCTTTACAGCAGCTGATTTCGTGCTGCAGAGGAACCTTGACTGGAAAATCACACTGGGTTTCTTTCCTAGTCTTCGATACTGCCACTGGCTTGTATGCGTATAAACACAGCAAGTAGTCTGGCATGTGCAGAATCCTTTATCTATTGTCTGCTTCTCAGAATTTGGCCTTCATTTATCATCTGTCTGCTTCTACTCATGGTGTTATCAAATCTGAGATGATTTATACACACATGCATCAAACAAAAAAGCACAGCAATTTCTGTCTCTTATGCACCCTTTTTGTCTCACTCATCAAACGTCCAAATGTCCAGGACAATAGTGCAAAAAGAAATTCACATGAAGTAACCATTTTTCAGCTCAACTTCTTTCAAACTATTGTATGATTTTAAATCGATTGTCATACCGAGGGTGGAACAGTCGTGCAAACAAATAAAATCAATCAAATTTAATGTATTTGTCAATATTACAAAGGTAGAAACATTGAATAGATGAAATCAGAGAAAAGCGTTGACTATTTGCTGTTGTCAAAAATCTCATGAAACTCATCCTTGCCACTTTCTTTCTAATTCCCTCCCATTAAAAATAAACAGACATTGAAGTTCGTCACTTTATCCCTGTTGACGAAGTATGATTTCTACCAACCACTCGACACCAGGAGAGTAACACTACATTATTGTTTAGATGATCTCAAGCCTTTTGCTGTTCCCCACAGGTCATCTGCCAAGGACAATTTTCCTACTTAAAGTAACTTGATAAGTTAGCAAGCGTTAAGAGCTACATTTCCATCTTTCTAATTTGTTTCTAAATTCAACAAACTCGTTGGTCAAGCAATTAGATATTGCTTAATGACTGCTTTCAATTACAGCTTGTATAACAAGCATTGCAGGGAGCTCTTTGTTTCCTTGAAAGAAAACAAAGAACACAAGGCTCATCACTTTAGTATTCACACCACTGCTTGTGGCTTTATATATATAAAAAAAAGCTGATCTTGGTCTGGGGGTTACTTCATAACATAGACCCCCTAAGGCAAAGACCTTCACCAATGCTCTTAGAGCTGTGGCTTGTTTTGTTGGAGTTTGGCTGCGTGTATGTGTACTCTTTCCGACTGCTTAGCTTTAAACAAGATGTTCTGAGCTGCAGTAAACCTCACCTCCCTGAGCACCTTCTTCATCCTGCAATAGCACCCCAGGCCCTATAAAAACATTGAGATAGTAGAGCATAAAGTTGGCAAGCAAAACACCGACAGGGAGCAAGGTTAGACATAACCTGAAGGATGGGTGGATTGATTATAAAAGATTGGTAGAACAGTGACCCGACCTTTCTTATGAAATCTGGATCCCAGTTTTGCATTTCTCTTGTTAGACAAGTTAAATTGGTTGTCTGGCACAGCTTTATTCAAATCTTTTCTGATTCAAAATGCTTGGAGGGTGTTTTTTTTTTTTTGGCTCAGTGAATCATGGCATTACCATTTAGCAATATGCGGGTGCCATCACGGAAGAATAAAAATCAACTCAAAAAACAGATAGTCCAGTACATTTTGGCAACATTTTGCTTCATTTTGAAATCCATAGTGTCATGAAACCCTGACCAGAGCAGCGGAGATCGCAACACCTACACATACCTGTTTTTAGTCACACAGAGTTGTGTGTACATCTCTTAATGTGCTGCTCTTCCTACCCTGATGCTCCCATCACTCTGGAACAAGGGAAATCTGAGCTCATCAGACCGCATGACCTTTTTCCAAATTGAAGCCTTTCTTGGCTTTCAAGTGATAAATGGTTTCCTTAAGGCTACACATCTGTTTATTCGGAGTAGTCTACATTTGTTGCTATTATTTTTGTGTTTCTTACAAAAAAAAAAACAACAAACATTTTTATTGCAGCATCATTTCAATGTGGAGAAATAGATTGTTAACCAGAAATCTACAAAAGACATTTACAGTTAAGAATTCAAACACTTTGCATATTTGTTTTGATTAAGGAGACGTGAGTTGGCTGATTCGTCTCTGGACTTTTATGTCGAAGAATCAAGGCAGGTGGTTCATGCTATATGACAAAAACTAGGCTGGAAATGCAATATTTTAACACTCAGATCTTAGTTGTAAATCTTAGACTGACTTCAAAGGTAAAAGAAATCTTGTGTTTACTCCCTAATTTTCTGTTGTTTTGAGATTTAGAGACTGGCCTGGTTATTTCATTACCTTTGTTGACAACATTTTGTCCTTTTTAAAATAGTTTTCTAAGCAGTCCACAGATCCATTTCTTGTGATGGAAAGATGCTTCAAAAAAAAAAAGCAGCAGTGAGCTGGCACAGGTGAGAGGAGGGCAGAACTGCATCATCCTATCCTCTAATCACTTCACGACATTGTCTAGCATCACTGATGTAAAACCTTAGACATTTTGAAGTCGAAGATTTATATACCTTAACACCCATAAATAGCTCATGCCTTGCTAGTATGAGTATGTTTGGTGACTTCAGCGGCAATCAGCACTCAAAGCATTTAGCAAGACCTGAGATGGAGCTCTTTACTCAGGGAGATTGATGGTCGTTTTGTATTCTGTATTTAGAAATAATCACTTGTCACTTTCTTACCAAGGTTACTGCTGATATGAGCCCTTTCCAGATTTATGCTGGAAGGGGCACAAAGGAAGGATGAGAAGGATGACTTTACCCTAACATCCTTTGACAGCTCTTTTGTCCATGGACAGGTGTGCTTTCTGTAAATAATTTATAAATCTCGGCGCATCATGGAAATTTTGCCTGATGCCATGTAGATTATTTCTTAGCTTTTTGAAATGCATTTTTCAGGATATTTTCTTGATATCTGCCCACATCAAATTAAGACTATGACAAAAATGAAGTGAACAAACTCATTAAAGGACAAGCTACATTGCATCTTTTAGCATTAAACTTCAACAGCTCCATTTGCATCAAGACCTGAGACATGACTCTCCTGACTCTCCTGACTCGAACTGAAATATGAACTTACTAATTGGTGTATGGATTCGATGTCGTTCCAGAGAGGAACTGGAGAACTTTGTGTCCAGTGGGACCCTGAGTCACCTGAAAGTGTGTTTCTCCAGAGAAGACAGGAAGGATGAGGAGGAACCTTCCTCAGCAGCACAACCCAGATACGTCCAACACAATCTGTTGCTCTGCTGCCAACAAGTCACCGACATCCTGCTCAGACGGGACGGCTACATCTACGTCTGCGGGTAAGGCCGACACTGATCTTCTTTTAATCTTAATCCATCCTGAGTGCTTCTTGTCCTTTTTTGATCTATTTATCGTTTTTCCCAGCATCCATCTGCCAAGGCTGTCTGATATTCTGGTTGTTTCAGTATTCAGTGTCATTTTTCAGTGTGTTCACACAATGGTGGCAGAGCATCTCTGCCTCTGCTTTTTCCTTGACTTTAAACTCTTTTCATGTGTGATGCTTTTTTCCTTTTTGGTAAATAGTACTTGCTCCTACGTCACTACAGATTCACATTATGTATAAAGTTAATTTTCATTCGAAACTGCATCATTATCATGATTACAAAGTAGACAAATTAATTTCACAAGAGAAATCACCTGAACATGTGGAGCCAGCACAGCAGCAAAGGAAATCTAATTACCTGTAGCTTACAAGCATAGTTTCTTACAAAGGTGATGAATAATGCTGTCGTTTGAAAATATTCTTCAATTTAGCTGTAAATGAAAGCAGTAGTCTAAATGACTCAATTTTGGTGTAGCACAAAGATAACGCTCTAATAAAAACAGGTGCTGCAAATATTTATTCAATTAACCTGGAATATGTACAGACTTGGATATATATATTTTTTATGAATTTGGTATAATTGAACCTGTTGAAAAGTTGTGTGTGTGTGTGTGTGTCTGAGGTTCTTTTGTATCCTCATGCAAGTCCAGTCTGACTTAATGATATTAATATATGTCACCCTTTTCTGATCTGGAGATTTGTTGTTGGAAGGGAGTCATAGAAGTCTGCCTTTTTTGTCCTTATTACTCAGATTACATGTTTGAATATATATTTTGTTTTTTAATTGAATGAGTGAGGTATGTTGCAGAATTAAATTATTTAGATAAAAAAGCTCACTGTGTAAAAATATTGTGATAGCAGGGAAATCGTATAATTGGTAAAATAAACGAAAAAAAAAAATCTGTATTGTATTTGCTTCCTTTGCCAATATCAAGTCCCAATCTTATGCTGCATCAATGCTAGTAGAAGTAGTGTAGCTGCTTGAATTTTATTTCATCCATTGTTTCTGTTGTGAACCAGAGTATTTTGCTCCAACGTGAAGTAAACAGGATCAAAGAAGCAATTTTTATGTCCTGACAACACGGCAGCTTAAAACCTGCTTAGCTTCTTTACTTGATTCTCACTGTACATTTAACATCACATTAACAGAAATGTTCTTTAATATACCCATGCTCTTCTCTTGCAGCACCCAGTATAGGCTATCCTTAAGTTTGAATATAAAAGTGAAAGTCCTATGCAAGGAGTCCTTTTAAACATATTCAGCTCGCTAACAGTATGGCAAAAACAAAGTCATAAACAAAACACCAAAAACAAGTGTTGGTAGCTGAGTTTAGTCAGAGATTCCAATACTGATCACCCCTAAATGCCTTAATATTTAACATTTTATGTTACTAATAAACACTGTAATGCTCAAAACAACAGTCTATTAAGAAGTGTAAATACAGCAAAAATTATGGTTCCTGGTGTTCTGTTTGTTTCCCCCCCCAAGTAAATCCTGCTTACTATGGAGGAGGGTTCACCAATTACCGGTGAAATGTCTGCCATGCTACAGTGATCTTCCCAGGCACTTTCAGATTTTGTGGGTTGTGTTGTTCTTCCTTCCTCCTTCATTACACCCCAAAGGTGTAGGAATTCAAGCCAAACCATACATCTTATGTTCCCCTTTTCCTCTGTGCTTGGAACATAGTTATTGTCTTTGTAACATAATATCACACAGTGTGAACATGTCATAGTCATTTTAACTGTGTGACCTGCTTCACGGGTTTTCTGGTACATTGTTAAACCAACATCAAAATGGATCAGGTAGTATCAAGTAAAACTACTTGATGTTAGCTGTCAACAAGAACTAGTGTCTTTTAAAAACAGCAGCATCAAATACTATTTAATTGTGTAGCTGAAAGAGAAGGATAACAGACCTTCAACTTTTTTTTAAATATGAAAAATATGGCATGCATTTATATTCAGCCCCTCTGAGTCAACACCTTTCACTGCTGCATGCCTTGTTATGTCTCTGCTGGTGTTGCACATCTAGAGACAAAGCATGTTTCCTATTCTTTGCTCAAGCTCAGCCAGATTTAATGGAGAAGAATCGGTTCTCCCCTTCTCAGTACTCAATTTTATGCCATGAGCACTTATGATGCCACCACTGAGTACTGTGTAATCTCTTCAAAAATCTTTTTGCAAGCATGCAAAAACATCATTTGTACTTGGCAAATATTTAACCCCTTTTCAGTCTACTCTTGATCTTCAGTTCTGTGCCAGTGTCTGCAGAGCTCCATATTTTTTGAAGAAACATACTTATGTGTGGTGTATGAAAACAAGTTGTTAAGCTCGTTTGCTGTAGTGCCTTGCTTGCAAGGCAGATCTCACTTTTTAAAGTTATAAACACAAGTCACATGATTACAGATTCCTTTGCTGCTGTTTCCTCCACTGTGATGCAGCAGTTTTCTCTGTTTATAGTTCATACATATCCTGCTGTCCTCCCCCCCTGCAGCATTACAACACTTGTTTGTCTCAGTCAGTACAAATTGTCCCTGTCAGAACAAAGAAAACATCAAACACTCGTGGGTATCAAACATGCCAAATCCTGTCAGCGTTGTAAAGCTGCTACTGTACATACCACATTATTTTTGCTGTTGTTTCTCACTCTCCTGCTTCCTTCCTCACCTTCGAGTAAATTACCTTTGAAACATCAAAACCATGTGAATTTTCACAGTCATAGAATATTTCCATCTTCGCTGAATCTCTGCAGCAGCAAACTCGAGGATTTAACCAGGAGGTATGCTAGAGTTGGTAGCAGTTCTGGAAAAATATTGGTGTTTGCACAGAGCCTTGCAAAAGTATTCATACCCCTTCGGCTATTCTATGTGTTTGACACATTTCAATTACGAAATCCAATGAAATATTTTTAGATTTTATGCAATAGACTATCAAAATAAAGCAAATGACTGTGGATACGGAGGAAGCTAACACATATCTTTTGCACCCTTTGTAAAAATGGTACTTATTGCTTTCAGAAGTCAGCTAGTTAGTGCTGTTCACCTGTTGCTAACAGCTGTTCAGTAAAGGACTCAAAAGCTTTTTGGGAACAGTAGTGAACAAACAGCATCACAGGACTCCTTCTGTTTCACCTACATATGCTCTTTTGTGTTGGTGTATCTTGGTGTAACACACACGAATACTACAAACGACACTGAAGTTTGTGGTTGCAACATGGGAAAAAGTGAAAATGTCCAAGCGGTATCAGTTCTGCTGCAAGGCACTTTAGGAGGAATGAGAGACACGTACATATTTTAACAGTAGTGTTTTTGTAACATATGTGCATTTTTTTCCACTTCCTAGGGATGCCAAGAACATGGCCAAAGATGTGAATGAGACCCTGGTGGAGATGATTAAAACTGAGCTTCAAGTGGACCAACTGGAGGCCATGAAGACACTAGCAGGACTTAGAGAGAAGAAGCGCTACTTACAGGACATCTGGGCCTGACTGTAGATGACTAGATAAAGGATCTCTGCTGCATTTGCTGTACTAAAAAAAAAAAAGAAAAAAAAAAGCATTGTGCAAGATATATATTTAGCCTTCTCAGCTGTAACCTCTTGATCCATAAAATTGTCGCTGCAGACGCTTGAAGGTAGTTTACGCCAGCCAATGTCACCGAGATAGAGTGACCCATGTGACCTGTGGATATCAGTTCAGTCCACCTTCCTCGCCTTTGCTGTTTAAACAGAGCTGACCTTGGTCAGTGCTGGAGATTAGCCCCGCGGTGTGAAAAGGCTTTCAGTGTAGACACGACGCCTCGGTTTGTCCTTTCTGATGAAAAGGCATTTATTACTGTCGGCCTTAATGGAGTGACTTTGATGAGACTGAGTGCGGGATACTTTTTGCACCTTGACAGCACATTAATCTGTACTTTTTTTTTGTGTGTGTGTGTCTTTTTTTTAAACTGTGCGCGCACACAAATAAACTGAATCATTCAAGGAAAGGGAAATTGTTTTTCTTTCTTGTGTTCTTGTCGTCTGTTTTCACAAAATGTACTGCGGCTGAAACTCAAAATGTCACTACTTTTTAATTTTTTTCTGCTAATTAAAAATTCTTTTCCTCTTATGAATGTTTCTTTTTTTCTTTTTTTTTTTTTTTTTTTTTTACAAAATTCCACGTGCTGCAATTATTGGCATCCCTACAGATTGAATAAAAAAAATAAAATAACTGAAGGGTTTTTTTGGTTATATTATTCATGTAGAAAATACTATCTTGGAAACTCAAACTCGTTTATTCTTTTCCTGATGTGTGAATATGAAGTGAGGCAGGTCAGAGGAGACCTCTCTCTGCAGCTTTATGACGGAAATGTTCAGTGAGCCAACCTTATGAAATGTCCTAACCAGAAGACTGAACGATCTCCTGTAGGTAAAGATAGGGTTGTTCAGTCAGTATCAATTACAAGCCGCCCTCCAAACATTTTCTATTTTTTTGGAGTAAAAAAATAGAAAAGAGTTCTTGAACTGCCATTTTAAAGTTAACATGTGACTTCAATGAAAGATCAATTTATTTCATAGAGGTGCTAATAAGCTTTTCTTTTTGGCATGTATCACACCACTTTAAAAATTAAATGTTTTTTCCCCCATTAGGCTCTTATAAAGTTTGAGTGTATGCTATGCTTATTATAGATATTGTTTTACTTTCCGCAGAACTGTAAGAGGTTCAAAAGTTATTAAAGTGAAAAGAAATGTGCCGAGTTTACGCATCTGCCTGTTTTAAAAACCCCTGTCTGCTGAAACATCCAGTATTGGTTCTGATCGTGCTGCTGATTGGTTCTGAGTGGACCGAACATAACCTTGTTAGCCACAAAGCAAGCATTATGTAAATGTGTTTCACTCTGATGTATTAAACGGAATAAGGTGTATCAGGCTTTCATGAGCAGCGTCCGCTGAAAATGATCGACTTTGTAATTCTGTTGATTTTTTATTTTATTTTATTTATTTATTTATTTTACCGAAAATACTTGAAAAAAAATGATAGCAGGCTTTTGTAGAAAAAAAAGTATGTATTCTTCAAAGTATGCCAAAATCCCAGCTGAGTAACAGATTTTTACTCATTTATCATTCCGGAGTGCTAAAACTCAAGAACAGAGCGTTGCAAGTCAGTGACAATGAGCCTGGACGACCAAAGCAATTAATCGAACAGACTTTGTTGCTGCCCTGTCTGTCTGCCCCCACACAACCAGCAGACCTTCATCATCGAGGAGGTAAATGCCAACATGAACTGAAGGCAGACATTTTCTACCGTCTCTCAAACTACGGTAGGCGCATTGTGCAAATACAATTTATTAAACAACTTTTTACTCCACGCATCTATTGATTGACCTCCCTGAGTGGAAACAGGAACTTTTTCTTGGTGTGCTCCGGAGGCATTGGGAATTATCTGGGAGCTAATGAACTCTGATTGATAGGGGGGGTAATTGTTTTATTTAAATTTAAGAGATAATTTGATTCCTCAAGGTGACTTTGTTTTGCAGAAGGGGACCCACTCTGCTAATTGAAGGCGCGTTGCGCACCGAGCTTTGGAGTGCGCCACCCACCAACTTCACCGGCTTAAGCCTTTCTAATGGCAGACTCTATTCTTTAGCAGAGAGGCGAGTGTTGACAGTGTTGGCTGTCAACAGATGACATCGTGATATGGCTGCGATTTTGGAGCCAAACGAATAAAACACTGGCTCTGGCAGAAAGCATGCGGCTGCTATAGTAAATACCGAATTTACCACGGGAGTCCAGGCACAGCTGTGTGCGCCTCCGCGTCCTCATCTCTCGCCGCCCTCCTGCTGCCACTCGTCACAAAATGAGCACAGAATGAAAATGATGACGCTGCAGCGTCACCAATCACAGCGCACATGTTATACATAACCGGCGAGGCTCGAAATTTGTTGTCGGGATAAATGGCAACAAAATTGCATGTATATATTAGGAAGTAAGTTTAATGAAAGTGGCACAGCTGTGACCATCCTTCTTGGTAAAGTTAAGAGGCACGGAGTACACCTTGAGCAACACCGACCTTATTTACCTACACTTATTAACATGCGCTCATCTCCAATTTAGAGGGGAAAAAAATTTTTTTTAAAAAATGACCGCGGCGAAGACGGAGAGCCTGTCCAGGGAGAACCACCTCGGACTGATGAAGTTTTAAATTAAGTCTTCATAATTAAAAAGGGTTTCACTGTGGCAGTTTTCGTCCCGCGGCGAGAGTGAAAGGCAGAGCGGTGGACGTGGTCGGGCATAAATCAGAGCGACTGGAGGTCAGCGCGGCCACGGGCCAAGCAGGCACCTTGTGTGATAGATGCCCCCCCGCTAAGAATGGCTTAAATGAAGCATAGAGAAGTGTGCTGAAGATAATGATTGTTATTACGGAAGTGGGGGCAGTGCCAAGTTGGGAGTTGCACTTTGTGTCAATGAAATGTGGGAATTAGAAACGGGACTGATGAATGCGCGACTCCTGAGTGCAGAAAGTGCAAAAAGTGAGGATGAAGGGAGCAACTGGAAGTTCTGCCCAAGAGAGGTGATTGAGTGTACAGAGTTCCTTGTGAAAGTATTCATGCCCTTTGAACTTTGGTTCATGTAACTACAAACTTTATTGTATTTTGGAAGGATTTTATGTGTTAGACCAACACAAATTAGTGCATCACTGTATCAATTTTGGACATTTACAGGCTAATTTTTATCATCCTTCCTTTTCAGGACAGCTCAGGTGACAACTGATTGGAGAACCTGAGTGTAAGTCTTGCCACATATTCTGAGAAGATTCAAGTATGGGCTTTGACTGGGCCATTCTAACACATTAATTAGTTAATGTATTTTGCAACCTCAAAGCAGTTTTTTTTTTCAGGATTGCACCTTAATTTGGCTCCATCCATCTTCCAATTAGCCGGCATCCACTGTAGAGAAGGTTTTGGTGTTCCTTCACCAAGGTTCATCATAATTATTATAAATTCAGGGTGAAAACTAATAGTTGTGCAGTTCACAACTAAAAGTTGTTAACCCACCTGAGCTTTATATGTCTGCACTTTGTCTAGACTTACCTTGCGGCGCTTTGCTCACATTTCTGCCAGTTTCAGCAGATGCCCAGGTTTTGCTAGTGCAGTACTGTTCCAATTTCTTTCTCAAACACTTTTTTTGTGCTACATTTCTCCAGGTTTTATCCCTTCTTCTCAATTCTGTTTGTTCTGAGATTAGATCAGACGAATTAATTGCACTAATTAGGTGAATTTTATTTAGGGCTATCATAGTGAAGGGAGTTAAAGTTTGTGTGCATGGCACACTTTTCAGATTTCAGATTTCATTTTATATCTATCATGTGTTAAAAATACCAACAACATAGGTTCAAGTTTATGCCTGAAAAGTAACAAATTGACAAAAAAAACCCCCAAAAACCTAAAGTGATATAAATACATCTTACAGAATGTCCCATTTGTTTAGCTGAAAGGTAAACAGACTGGTGTGAGTTGAAAGTTTTGTCACTTTTTAACTTATGTTACTTTGTGTTTATATGTGTATCTGCCTGCAAAAATAAATAAATAAATAAATAAATAAAACAACTCATCAAAATGAAAGCTGCCATGAATGACTCAGGATGGTGTTCTTGCATGAGCTCAGTCAGAAGAAATCCTCTTCCTCAAATCCTGTCAGCTCCTTCTCAACTGCGTTTTATCACCACAGAGAGACACTTCCACTCGGTCTCAGCTGTTCTCCGTCTGTCGTCAGTGACCCGGGAATGTCAGCTCAGCTCTTTCATGTACCAATGAAGGCAGCCCGGCAAGCGAGCACGGGTTCACGTAGACAGAAACACAGTGAGAGCCTGCGCCGCAGTGTCCCAGCTGTGCACAAACACTTTACCTTTCACCATCTGTCCAAAGAACTACAGGAAAACCAGCTTTTTTTTTCTGAAAAAGAGAGAAAACAAGCTGCAGCACTTCCATTGAGTTTTCTGTTTGAACTCTTAGATACTTGTGTTCTTTTGCTCCCTGTGTATTGATGGGGCAGGAGAGATATCTCTGCTTCCTGTTCAGCAAAACAAACATTAGCTGTAAGTGATGCTGTCAGGAGGAAGACATATCCAGGAAGAATCCCATTGGGCTTTTAAGAGTGTTGGCATGCCGGATACAACTGATCAGAAAGAATATAACAAAATATACATATATAGCAGCATTACTTTCACATATTTCACCCAGGGTGCTTACCGGTGACCAGTGCATGAAAGATTGTCTCTCACATTTAGGTACTGTATGTCCACGTGAATAAAACGGAAACTGCTTAGCTCATCGAATGTATTAATGATGTTTCAGCAATGGCCGCTTGCTGTCTCCATTTGTCAAGAAAAATATAAAAATTGGTTGGGCATTTTTAAACTTCCAACGACAGGTGAACACTTAGCAGAATTTATAGCCTCATCGGTCCTGACAGCTGTAATGACTTATGCAAATTAGAGGTTAAGTGCAGAGATGTGCCTGTTCTGTAGAAAACAGAGACGTGCAATGGATTGGTGGAAAGTGGAAGCAAAAGGCAGACGGAAGGATGAAGTGCGAGCACTTGACATTTGTTGCCGCTGGATGTGTGGGAAGTCCAATTTCTTCTACTCAGAAGATGTTTAAAAATGCACATGTGAAATTAATTTGGAAGAAAAAGACTCATCGGCTCTGCCTTCATTCGATGAATGAAGAAAGAAAAATATTTAGAACAACGGCATAAACTGCCACATTATGTCATAATAACGTGAATCTATTCACATCACAAACTTTAACGCATTTAAGTGAAATATGAGTGATAGGTTAACAGTAGTGCACAACTATGATGTAGGAGGAAAGGACAGATGCTTTTAATTTTTTTTGTTTTACAAATAAATATTTGAAAAGTATTTATTTCAAATTCTTTTGAAATAAGTTTTTCAAAAGTAATACTTATTACTTTTGATTATTATTAGCAAAAGTAATACTTTTTACATAGGGTAAATTGCGGATCAGAGTATGTTGTGGGTTTGATTTCCAACTTCTTATTGCCTCTTGTTGATCCCTGAGCAAGACACTTAACAAGTTGCCTTCTGAATTGTCTTAAAGTGTCTGA